CTTCATCCTGCCCGCCCTCCTCCTTCACACGGCACCTCTCAGAAGCGGTGTCCCTATTTCCATGATGGGGATACGATGGCGCTGACTGGCGAACAAGAGCGCTGCTCCCGGAAAAACGCTGGTGCTATTCCCATGCCATGCCAGTCAGCCGCATCCCGTTCCCCACCCTCTCCCCTCCCCCACCCACCCTTCCAACTCCCCTTCTCTTCCTTTCCTCTCTCCCACCGCTCCACGCAGCTTACCCTTGTTCCTCATCAGCTCTCACACTGCGCCACAAGCATTGCAGGAAAACAACACAACTGCTCTCATATGCCGAGTCACCAGCGGTGAGCGGTACCGACTCCTCTTCTCTCCCCCTCCCCTCACCTTCTCCCCCATTTTACTGGTCTCCCTTTCCTACTCCCCGCCCTCCTCCGGTCTACGTTCCTTTGTTCCGCATCTGCTCTCTTCTCCCCTTCCCCGGTCGCTGCGCCTTCCCCCCTCTGCTCCCCCCTCTGCCCCCCCCTCTACCCCCTCCCCGAAACCCTCTACCCGCGAAACCCCTCCTTCCCCCCCGCCCGCCATCCTCGTCCCCAAAACCCCCGAAGTCCCCAAATTCGTTGGTCGAGTCCGCGTCGTTCTGCTTCTTCAGCCGCTTCCGCCCGCCGAACCCATACTTCGCATCCCGCTGCTTCCGCTTCTCCAACGACCCCTTCCCCCCGGCCCGCCCCCCGCGCGCTCCCGCCCCGCGCTTCTCCCCCCGTGCAAACTCCCCCCCCACGCCCAGCGCCGCATCCAGCTCCACGGGGAAGTCCGCTCCGCCGGGTGCGGTTGCGGCGTCCTGGAAGTTGCTCTGCGCGCGCAGCTTGCGCCATCGCTCCACGGCCTGCACCGAGTCCTTCTTCTCCTTCTCGCGCTCCTTGCGCCGCTCCGCCTGCACCAGCTTCGCGTACTTCTTCCCCTCGCGCGCCTTCTTCCGCTCCTCCGCGCCCTCCATCTCCTTCTGTTGCGCCAGCAGCCGCGCGCGGATGCGCTCCATGTGCGCGTCGCTCTTCACCATCTCCGCGTAGTAATCCGCCGGCCGCAGCAGCGCCACCGCGGACGGGGGAAACCTCCGAGTCTCTTCCCCCTCCACCCCTCCCGCGGAAGCAGCTGCGCCTGCGGCGGCGGCGGCTGCTTCCTCCTGGAGCCGCACAAGCGCCGCCTTAGCGCCAGCTGCGGCCTGGGAGTAAAATGCGGCTTCGCGAACCAAATCGTCCGCCGCGTCTACGGCCTCCACGCCGCAGGGGGCGCCGCCAGCTGCTGCGTCAGTGGCGACGTCGTCCATCACGATGACGGCCAGCGACTCCACCCACGGCCGCTTGCCCGCCCACGCGAACTCGTCTAGCTTCCTGCGCAGCGCCGGCGCGTCGTTTATCGCGTGGGGTTTCTGCTGCGCGCCGAACAACGCCGCCGCCTCGCCGTCATCGTCGTCGTCGAGATCCTCGTCCTCGTCGCCATCGTCGCCTTCGTCGCTCTCGTCGTTAGCGTCGCCATCGTCGCTCCCGTGGCCGACATCGTACTCGTCGCCTCGGGCTATTAGCTCCTCCTCATCCCCAGCAAGACCATCCGCCACCGCCTGTGCCTCTTGTTCAACCATGCTCGCTGCGGAGGGTATCGAGTTGACAAATCAGCTTCGCGACGAGTGGACAGGGTTGGAGCAAGGACAAGAAGAGGGTTTGGGTACAAGCAGGGGACAGTGAGGAGGTCATGAACCTTGGGTGGGCAAGGCTCGTTTAGTGCGTGGAACATTTCGGAATTATCACTACAGTTTCGTACGAGGTCCCTGAGGGCGTGGTGCATCATGTGCAAGCGAGGTCCGAGTGTTGGCCCCCTAAGCGTTTAACCATACAAATGTGTTCATCACGCGTGCGAATGCACCTCCTTATGTTACGACTGTACCGCGAAACAAAATGTTGTTGGAACTCGGGGTTAAGCGTATGACTTTTGCACAAGTGAACCGCAGAGTTAATTGGTCAATAAATGTAACATGTCGCGGTCTGTAGGGAGGCACGTGAAAACACTGCCCAACCAGAGAATTGCGCAAAATTGCAAGAATTTGACGACACCCCTTAGCGGAAGTCTTAACTGATCGCACCACCGAGTTCATCACCAAAGCCGTAATGCTACACAAGTTTGTAATCTTGGACCTCGGTTAATAACTCACAAGCTGAACCCGCTGAACCTCTGTCAACCCTGCGAAACAGACCCACGATGGATTGGACCCCATTTTGCGCATGATGCACCACGCCCTGAGTCTTGCGTTGTCGTGCGGTTTGGGCTTAACCGGACGGCGGTTCGGACCCAACCTCGCCCGCTGAGAAGTTGGTTCGATCGATTTGGCCAAATTTTGATTTCATATTTATTATTTTTTAATCAAATATGCAAATAAAATTCATAAACTACAGTACCCTTCCCTAACTGTGTGCATGGTGAATAGTTGTCACTACTGCTCACAGTACATCAAACCATATGATTTTCCTAACCGGAAGGCGGTTGGGACCCAACCTCGCCCGCTGAGAATTTGGTTCGATCGATTTGGCCAAATTTTGATTTCATATTTATTATTTTTTAGTAAAAATATGCAAATAAAATTCATAAACTACAGTACCCTTCCCAAACTTTGTGCATGGTGAATAGCCGTATAGCTGCTGATTGAAGTATCAGTTCAATTTCAGTGGCAGCGCGATCCCGCCACGTAGCCCGCGACTCAGCCTCTTAGCCCGCGATTCAGCCGCCCAGGCCGCGATCTAGCCGCCCAGCCCGCGATTTAGCCGCCCAGCCCGCGATCTAGCCGCCCAGCCCGTCATCTAGCCGCCTACGCCTCGATCTAGCTGCCTAGCCCGCATCTTAGCCGCTCAGCCAGCGATTTAGCCGCCCCGGCCGCGACCTAGCTGCAAAGCAGCGATCTTGCTGATCAACCGGTGATTTAGCCGCTTAGCCCGCGAACTGCAGGTTGCAGCGCGCAGCTAGGCAATGGAACCCGCGCCGTCACAGCGAAATCCGCACCGCAGCAGCGAAAATCGCGCCGTAGCAGCGAAATCCACGCCGTGGCAGCGAAATTCGCGCCGTGGCAGCGAAATCCCCGTCGAAGCAGCGACATCCACACCTAGGCAGCAGAACCCACGCTGTAGCAGCGACATGCGCGCCGTAGCAGCGAAATCCGCGCCGTAGCAGCGAAATCCGCGCCGTAGCAGCGAAGCCCGCGCCGTAGCGTCGAAGTGCGCGCCGTAGCAGTGAAGTGCGCGCCGTAGCAACGAATTGCGCGCCGTAGCAGCGAAATCCACGCCTTAGCAGCGAAATCCGCGCCGTAGCAGCGAAGTCCGCGCCGTAGCAGCGAAGTGCGCGCCGTAGCCGCGAAGTGCGCGCCGAAGCAGCGAAGTGCACGCCGTAGCAGCGAAGTCCGGGCAAAGAGCAGTGAAATCCGCCACGTAACAGTGAAATCCGCGCCGTAGCAGCGAAATCCGCGCCGCGGCGGAGGGATCAGCGCCCAGGCAGCTATACTCGCGCGTAGGAGTGCCATCGCAGTGAGGCTCGCGCCTAGGCAGCGACTACCGCGTGTAGGGAGGACCACAAAGCGAGACCCGCGCCTAGGTACCAACACCTGCAGGTAGGAGCGTCCAACGTATAGGGGAGTCTCCGTGCGCCAGCGACGCCCAACACCTTCGACTCACCCGGACTGCGAACCTTATATCGAAGGCGGGAGGCGCCCCCTCCAGCGCTCCCCGTAAACAGCTTACGCCATGAACAACGATCCAGACCCCCCAGACCGGGGGAGGAAGATCATCGCGAGGATTGGCCACAAGAGACCCAGGGAGGCAGCGCTGAGTATGCAATACCCACAACTCTGTCGCCTCCACCACGAGGATGCACTCTGCCTTTTTGGCAAGCCCAGCAAGCGACAAAGGTATGGACCCCCCTCGACAGAGGGGGGGATGGAGGAACCACCCGAAGACACTATCGGCGGCTTCGTAGGCGGCAGCGACACCATCTCCAGCTAGGACCTGGACGCGACGGACGAGGGCGAGTGCGGTCATGGGGTGCACAGGCAAGGTACTGGTGATGACGCGGCGATGGCTGCATGGGAGGCACACCGCCGGCGACTGCAGGAGTCTCATGATAGGCGGTGGAGGGCCCTGGGAAATCCCTTGGCACGCCCAGCCCTCACAGCTCCGCGCGGGCCTCGCCTGGCCCAAAGGCAGGAACAGAGACGGAGAGCCCGGGCGGAAATGCAGCAGTGGAGTCCAGCGAGGACCCAGCCCTCGAGGCAGGAGGGGGGGCAGCAGAACTGGCTGTTGGGGGAGGCCCGGAAGCCACAAGCAAGGGGGCAGCAGGTGCTGCCGGCGGGAGGGCAGCAGGAGCTGCTGGCGAGAGGGGAGCAGCAGCTGCTGGCGAGAGGGGAGCAGGAGCTGCCGGCGAGAGGGGAGCAGGAGCTGCCGGCGAGAGGGGAGCAGGAGCTGCCGGCGAGAGGGCAGCAAGAGCCGCAGGCAAGAGGGCGGCAGGCGCGGTCGGCAGGCGAGCAGCAGGTACTGCCGAAGGGAGAGCAGCAGGAGCGGCCGGCGGGAGGGCAGCAGGAGCTGCCGGCGGGAGGGCAGCAGGAGCTGGCAGGCAGGAGGGCAGCGGGAGGTGCCAGCGGGAGGGCAGCAGGAGGTGCCAGCGGGAGGGCAGCAGGAGGCGCCAGCGGGAGGGCAGCAGGAGGTGCCGGCGAGAGGGCAGCAGGAGGTGCCGGCGAGAGGGCAGCAGGAGGTGCCGGCGAGAGGGCAGCAGGAGCTGCCGGCTGAGGGGCAGCAAGTGGTAGAAGTGGAGATGGCGAGCTACAGCCAGAGGTGCAGCAGGACCAATCGGGGAACCGGGCCCGGCCACACGCAGGAGGGCAGCAGGAGCCGCCCGGGGGAGAGCAGCATGAGCTGCCAAGGGAAGAGCAGCACGAGCTGCCGGCAAGGGAGCAGCAAGCAAGGGAGCAGCAAGCGGTAGAAGTGGAGATGGCCGAGCTACAGCCAGAGGCACAGCAGGACCAATCGGGAAACCAGGCCTGGCCACAGGCAGGAGGGCAGCAGGGGCCGCCCGGGGGAGAGCAGCATGAACTGCCAAGGGAAGAGCAGCAGAAGCCGCCGGGGGTGGGGCAGCTGCCGGAGCGGGAGCAGCAAGCGGTGGATGTGGAGATGGCCGAGCTACTGCCAGAGCTGCAGCAGGACCAATCAGGGAACCAGGCCCGGCTGCAGGCAGGAGGGCAGCAGGAGATGCTGGGGGAAGAGCGGCAGGAGCTGCCAACAGGAGGGCAGCTGGAGCTGTTGGGGGGAGGGCAGCAGGAGCGGTCGGAGGGGGAGCGGCGGGAGTTGCCGGCGCGGGGGCAGCTGGAGGTCGCTAGTGCGGACTCTACTAGCCAAGCGAAGAGAACCCGGGCACGGGGCCGAGGCGGGAGACGACACGCCCGTAAGTCGCAAGGGCGGACTGGAAGCGGTGCTGCCGCACAGCAGGCGGAGGGGCAGCCGGGGGCGACCGAGACACCCCCGGGAGCCCCGCGGGTGGGGGGGCAGCCCCGGGTGCCTGGGGCGCCCCAAGGAGAGCAGCAGCCAGGGGGGCAGCCGGGGGTGACCGGAGCACCCCAGGGAGAGCAACAGCCAGGAGGGCAGCCGAGGGTGCCCCGGGCACCCCAGGGAGTGCAGCACGCAGGGGGGCAGCCGAGGGTGCCCAGGGCACCCCAGGGAGTGCAGCAGGCAGGAGGGCAGCAGGGGGTGCCCGGGGCACCCCAGGGAGTGCAGCAGGCAGGAGGGCAGCCGAGGGTGCCCGGAGCACCCCAGGGAGTGCAACAGGCAGGGGGGCAGCCGGGGGTGCCCGGGGCACCCCAGGGAGTGCAGCAGGCAGGAGGGCAGCCGAGGGTGCCCGGAGCACCCCAGGGAGTGCAACAGGCAGGGGGGCAGCCGGGGGTGCCCGGGGCACCCCAGGGAGTGCAGCAGGCAGGAGGGCAGCCGAGGGTGCCCGGGGCACCCCAGGGAGTGCAGCAGGCAGGAGGGCAGCCGAGGGTGCCCGGAGCACCCCAGGGAGCGCAGCAGGCAGGGGGGCAGCCGGGGGTGCCCGGGGCACCCCAGGGAGTGCAGCAGGCAGGTGGGGAGACGGGGGTGCCCGGAACACCCCAGGGAGTGCAGCAGGCAGGAGGGCAGCCGAGGGTGCCCGGGGCACCCCAGGGAGTGCAGCAGGCAGGAGGGCAACCGAGGGTGCCCGGGGCACCCCAGGGAGTGCAGCAGGCAGGGGGGCAGCCGGGGGTGCCCGGAGCACCCCAGGGAGTGCAGCAGGCAGGAGGGCAGCCGAGGGTGCCCGGAGCACCCCATGGAGTGCAGCAGGCAGGAGGGCAGCCGAGGGTGCCCGGGGCACCCCAGGGAGTGCAGCAGGCAGGAGGGCAGCCGAGGGTGCCCGGGGCACCCCAGGGAGTGCAGCAGGCAGGTGGGGAGCCGGGGGTGCCCGGAGCACCCCAGGGAATGCAGCAGGCAGAAGGGCAGCCGAGGGTGCCCGGGGCACCCCAGGGAGTGCAGCAGGCAGGAGGGCAGCCCTGGGTGCCCGGGGCGCCCCAAGGAGAGCAGCAGCCAGGGGGGCAGCCGGGGGTGACCGGAGCACCCCAGGGAGAGCAACAGGCAGGAGGGCAGCCGAGGGTGCCCCGGGCACCCCAGGGAGTGCAGCAGGCAGGGGGGCAGCCGAGGGTGCCCAGGGCACCCCAGGGAGTGCAGCAGGCAGGAGGGCAGCAGGGGGTGCCCGGGGCACCCCAGGGAGTGCAGCAGGCAGGAGGGCAGCCGAGGGTGCCTGGAGCACCCCAGGGAGTGCAGCAGGCAGGAGGGCAGCCGAGGGTGCCCGGGGCACCCCAGGGAGTGCAGCAGGCAGGAGGGCTGCCGAGGGTGCCCGGGGCACCCCAGGGAGTGCAGCAGGCAGGTGGGGAGACGGGGGTGCCCGGAACACCCCAGGGAGTGCAGCAGGCAGGAGGGCAGCCGAGGGTGCCCGGGGCACCCCAGGGAGTGCAGCAGGCAGGAGGGCAGCCGAGGATGCCTGGGGCACCCCAGGGAGTGCAGCAGGCAGGTGGGGAGCCGGGGGTGCCCGGAGCACCCCAGGGAGTGCAGCAGGCAGGAGGGCAGCCGAGGGTGCCCGGGGCACCCCAGGGAGTGCAACAGGCAGGGGGGCAGCCGGGGGTGCCCGGGGCACCCCAGGGAGTGCAGCAGGCAGGAGGGCTGCCGAGGGTGCCCGGGGCACCCCAGGGAGTGCATCAGGCAGGTGGGGAGACGGGGGTGCCCGGAACACCCCAGGGAGTGCAGCAGGCAGGAGGGCAGCCGAGGGTGCCCGGGGCACCCCAGGGAGTGCAGCAGGCAGGAGGGCAACCGAGGGTGCCCGGGGCACCCCAGGGAGTGCAGCAGGCAGGGGGGCAGCCGGGGGTGCCCGGAGCACCCGAGGGAATGCAGCAGGCAGGAGGGCAGCCGAGGTTGCCCGGGGCACCCCAGGGAGTGCAGCAGGCAGGAGGGCAGCCGATGGTGCCCGGGGAACCCCAGGGAGTGCAGCAGGCAGGAGGGCAGGGAGTGCAGCAGGCAGGAGGGCGGCCGAGGGTGCCCGGAGCACCCCAGGGAGAGCAGCAGGCAGGGGGGCAGCCGGGGGTGACCGGAGCACCCCAGGGAGAGCAGCAGCTAGGGGGGCAGCCGGGGGTGACCCGAGCACCCCAGGGCGAGCAGCAGGCAGGGGAGCAGCCGGGGGTGACCGGAGCACCCCAGGGAGTGCAGCAGGCAGGAGGGCAGCCGATGGTGCCCGGGGAACCCCAGGGAGTGCAGCAGGCAGGAGGGCAGGGACGCTCGGGGACCTGTCCCGCCACCCATTGCTTGAACACTTCCAACAAGTGGGAAAGGCAGGAAGGTTCAGTGAGGGGCCGCTGCGAACCACATGAGGGTATGCCGGGCGGCTGAGGCGGAGAGGCGTGCACAGACTCTCGGCTCGATTCCGTCTCTGGTGGAGACCGACACGCAGGAGCGATCGACGCCGCGGGAATTTGGGGACGAGGCGTGGGCTGGGGGTACGTCATGGGAATGGGAAACTTTTTTCAGTGTGGAGGCGGTTGGAGGGAGGACAGTGCGCCGGATCCCACAGCGGGCCAGGTCGGGGGTCTTAGACGCGCTCTGTTGCATCCTTAAGCGCTTGAAGAGCCAGCCTGGAGATGAAGCCACTACCCTCCTACTCTTGGCGTTTCCGCGCCTTATCCTAGCCGTGCCTCCCAAGCCAGGCATAGGTCAGAAGGCGCTGATCACAGAGCGGTTGGGTGCGTTCTGGGAGGGGAGGTGGCGGGAGGTGTTCGACTCTGCCATGGTGGCGGCGCGGCCAGCAGTTTGCCCACTTTCCTACACTTGCTCTGA